TGCTCCTTCCCCCTCCCCTCTCCCCACCTAACAGCTGGTCAGCGCTGGTCTGAAAGGCTTTGCAGGCAGCTTTTAAAGCAAGTAGCCCTATGCACGTTTCTACACAAGCAGGTTTCAGCTCAAACTGAGCACCTTTTCACCCAAGCACAGTTTAACCCAAAACAAGCAGCTTTTAAACTACATTTTACATTTTAAAACGACAATACCAGGCCTGTTAGCCTTGCTGGTTTTCCAGGTGGGCTGCAAGAAGCAGACCCTGGAAAGCCAGCAGTGCAGAATGGTGAGGTCCAAACAGCAAGCAGTCTTTGGAGCCAGTTCAGAGGCCTCCCAGCATGGCAGTGGGAGGCTTCTGGGTGGTGGTGGCTGAACCCTTTTTTTTACTGTATTCGCTCCATAAGACGCACATACTTCCCCCCCACACTTTTTTTGGGGGAAAGTGCATCTTATGGAGCAAAAAATACGGTATTTAGGATTGCTGCCTTCACACCATCAAGAACTAAATCTTGGCTGCTAATTACTGAACACCAAATGAAGTTCTTATTTTCAATCTGAAATATTATTTATTGTATATCTCTATTTGGATGTTAAAAATACTGGCACTGTGAATGTACTTAGCAAGGAACATTAGCCAACCTCCTCCACAACCAAGCACCACACAGTTTCAGTGCTGGGTCTGGACAGAAGATTCCCTAATTTTATGAGGGAAAAAAATCCATAGGCATTAATTGCCCTTCATTGCTCAAGTGGGCATAGGACAAAAATGTAGTGGGTGTTTTGTTGGCAGGTTATGAATAAAGATTGGAATGTTTCCTCTGGAATAATATATAATCATCAGTAGTAATAATAAAAGTAATGGTGAAGGACAATTTAGGATACTGGAAACCCCATCTCTATTTAACAAATGAAATTTGCTGGCTGTTCACAGTTCTTAATCACAGTTTGTTAAGTCAGATGTTGCAGTGATCTAAAAACCTATAGTAACCCTCACTAGGCTCAACATCAAAATGGCTTAACTCTTTATGAAAGCTACTGGTGCAGGTTCATTGTAATCTATTACCAGAAATCAAAGATCTACAACCTAAAAGAAATTCTGAAGGTCTTCTGTTCTTTGTGGTGAATGTTTTGGAGTTCTGAGAGTGAGCAGCCGATACTAATGTGGAGATGGGAGATGGCAATTTGTTTCAAAATGTAGAACAACCCTGTAGGTTGTATAATAGTTTGACTAGGTGGAGTGACCTCTTCCTGCCCAAACCTGAAAATCCATAGACTTGGAGGGTAGGGAGGGACCTGACAACAGGAATCTTGTAGGACACCAACTATGGTTAAATAGTTTTGTTTTCTTTCCTAATCAATGTCAGCCTAAAATGGTGAGGGAGTTTGTTTATCTTTCATAAAGAGGCCACAGACTGTTGTGAAGACTAAGCTGTTATTGTCTTGGCAAAACCAAAAGTTCAAGAATTATGTGTGGTTTAAACAACCATGTGAAAAAAAGTGCCATGTAAGATAAGACTTCAGTATCTACTATTGGCTATAAAGACAAAAGTGATTATTCAGGATATTTGTGTATCACTGTTTTTTTAAAAAAATTCCCAAGGTTGCAACAAATAATTATGAATTTTAAAGACCAGTATTAAGTGTAACAATATTGCAAATTACAAAGCTTTCTTACCACAAATTCTGGGAGGGAAATGGTTGGAAAAAGCCAAGAAAAGCAAGTACAGTGGTGCCTCGCTAGACAATGATAATCCGTTCCACTGAAATTGCTGTTTAGCGAAATCATTGTCTAGCGAAAAGCATTTCCCCATTGGAATGCATTGAAACCTGCTTAATGCGTTCCAATGGGGAAGAATTGTTGTTGTCTAGCAAAGATCGGCCATAGGAAAGCTGCTTTGCGAACTGCCGATCAGCTGTTTAAATCGCTGTCTTGCGAAGCTTAGGTCCCTAAAACACCTGTTTGCGAGCGCAGAGGGAGCTGTCAAAGTCGTCGTCTAGCGAAAATCGGTTTGTGAAGCAGGGATCAAACATTGTCCAGCAAAATTCCCCCATAGGAATCACTGCTTTGCAAATCGCTATAGCGATCACAAAAAGTCAATGTCTAGCGAAGAAACTGTCATGCGGGGTAACTGTCTAGTGAGGCACCACTGCACATTACTGTGTCTCATACATGTAATAGAAGGGGAAATCATTTCAGATGATAGGCATCAGCACAGATAAGTTTTAAAGAGGCAACCTGTTTATTTCAGCATGTATAATAAAAGTGAACATAACAGTATCGTGACACCGTGAAGGCTAACATTTAGTTCAGTATGACTTTTTATGGATTGTAATGTACTTCAGATGTGTCACAATGAAATCAACTTGTTATACACATTGTGGCAAAGAACTTGATTTTGTTACCCTGAAGGTGGCCTCTGGTACAACTAGATGGCACTCTGCATGTGTCATGGATGCCACAAAGTTTGGGTTTATATTTGCTGGAGATAAGCAAATTGTAGCTTTCCGATTGTTGTTTGATTGCAGCTCTCATCAACTAGCATAGCCAATGGATTGGATTAATGGCGTGACTTCACTAGCAACTGGAGGGTTACGAGTTGCTCACTCCTGCCGGGGAGCTATCAAGAGCAACCAATCTCCGCTTCGCACTTTTATATTCTGTGGCTGTGTGCTCTTGACCACCAGGTGGTGCTAAAGCTATTCAGTAAAATGCATTGTCATTGTTCATTCCGAATGCAGTACTGCTTTTTCCATTACTGTGCAATAATTGCTGTCATTACTCAAGTTACTCCTTGTTTAGCTATGCTGTGTTAACTAATTTATTGTTATGTTCCATCATGTCAAACCAACTTATAGCAAGTCTAATAGGGCTTTTAAGGTAAGTGAGGTATTTAAGGAGTGGTTTTTCTAGTTCCACAACCCCAGTGAGCTTCCATGGCTGAGCAGGGATTCAAGCAGGCCTCCTAGTACATCGCTCTATCCTGTACATTGCAATGGGTATCTGTTAACTAAGCATTCCCCCCCCCCCCAAAAAAAAAAAACAGCTTCAAAAGATTGATCAAGATCTGGTACTGTGTTGGCTAGGCTTCAGAAAATGCCATGGCAAAATCCATTTATTATATTTTTATTTACATTATTTATATGCTGCCCTTCCCGTAGGGCAGTGATGCTGAACCTTTTTGAACCCGAGTGCCCAAACTTCAACACAAAACTGACTTACTTATTTCAAAGTGCCAACACTGCAATTAAACCTGAATACTGAGTTTTTAGTTTAGAAAAAACAATTGCCCCTGCACAGCAATGTTTAAATGCTCCCCCCCCTTAGGGGTGGTATTAAAAGAGAAATACTTATCAGTCCTCCAATCCCCCATCGGGTTTGACCAGTAATGGTCAACTGCACCCCGCCGCTGGACCTCTGTACCAGCAGAGGGGAGTGCCAAAATCTGGGATCGGAGGACAGGTAAATATTTCTCACTGCCGACTTATGGCTCATGTGCTCACAGAATGGGCTCTGTGTGCCAGCTGTGGCACATGTGCCATAGGTTCGCCATCACTGCCATAGGGGATCTAAGGTGGCTCACAACAATTAAAATCATACAATAATAAGTTAAAATTACCATGCAAATATTTAAAAAGTTGGTCAAGAAGATTACAAACATTTTAAAAACTTTTTAAAAATCTAAATATATGAAATAGAGGGTTCTCCAGATGCCCCCATTTATTGCTTAAAAGCCTTCCTGAAAAGGAAAGTCTGTCTGAAGACAAAAAGGAAAGTGCCAACCTGGCTTCTTGGTGCAGTGCATTCCAAAACTTTGGAGCAGCCACTGAAATGGCTTGAGGTGGTGCAACTGATAGAAGAGCCTCCCTAGAAGACCTTAAAAGCCTCATAGGCTTATATGGGGTCATATGATCCTTCAAATAGCCTGG